TCTTTCTTTCTTTCTTTCTTTCTTTCTTTCTTTCTTTCTTTCTTTCTTTCTTTCTTTCTTTCTTTCCTCCTTTCCTCCTTTCCTCCTTTCCTTCCTTTGCCTGCATATTTGCTTCTACAGGATTCTGTTCTGGAAGTCAGTGGCAACCGAGTGAGCTTCAGTCCTCTAAATAGTGCCTCAGCGGGGTCCAAGAATAGCATTTTAGCAAGCAATGGTGCATATTCAGGCTACCTCAGCAAACAAGAGACCAGTCTATCACATAGCTCTTCCTTCTTAATGACTACCAGCATTAGATCTTCCATGTCCTCCTCTCAGTCTGTGACATCTGACCTCTCACCAGCAAAAACTGACTTAGGTTCAAAAACAAGCACAATATTTACTGACGGCAATAAACCGAAACACCAGCTGAGCCCCGCAAGGCAATATAACAACCCGATCGGTCTTTACTCAGCAGACACTCTAAGAGAAATGGCTGAGATGCATAAGTTAAGTCTCACCCGAAGGGCTTCAGAAGGTGGACTTCTGAGAGGGTATGTAAATGTAATAAACTTGTTTTGTAACGATGCAGTCTGAATAGTTTGGTGAATGAGTACCTTCCATGCATGGTTAATTGGAAACATTCTCTGCAGAGATGTGCATTTTAATTTGTCATTAAATAGATCTTAAGAATCTGCCTTGCTGAATCCATCTAGATCAACAGTGGCCAACCAGGTGCCTTTGAAAAGCTGACCAAGCAGATCCAGCCATAACAGCCATTCCCTTTTCTTCATTTGAAACATCTGGCAGTCCAAAAGACTCTGATTCTGAACATAGGCAAGGAAAACAGATCCCCCAAGTTGGTGCTCCAGAAATAATCCCTGATCTTCTGAATAATCAGTGGTCCTTGGTGGAAAATAATTGTTCTGTCCTCCAGAAAAGCTGGAAATGCTAGCTAGGAATTTGGAGAGCTGGAGTCCCAATATTTCTGGAGATATCTTGGGGAAGGCTGATATTAGGAGATAAGTTTCCTAAATGTAGTGTAGAGCAATTAAATGTACGTGCTTATCCATTACCATGAATGATTTATGAGTACTTTAAACGAGGACCGAAGAATAATGAGTAGAAGACTCGGATGCAAAAGCCATCTGTCTCAGGACTGTTCTGCATAGGTGGACTTGGCATATTCTCAGGATGACTCTATGAAAAGCTGCTGAGATTAGAACTAGAGAAATCATCTTTGAAGATGGGCTACCTCTGGTCCTGGAGATGAAAGGCTATGACAGTTTTTCCAACTTGGTGTCCTCCAGCTGTGGAGGATTTGGGAGGCTGAGGTTCACCACATCTGAAGGGCACCGGCAGCTAAAGTGTGCTGGCTTTCTAGGTTCTGTGTAATTAGCATTGTTAATGTTATTTACAAGCATGCATGGGATCCACGAAGGTCAGGGGGCATGCATACTGATGAGTAATCTTGCAGGAATAACTCTTTCCTGTTTTGGGCTCCCATTACTGGAGTTGGTGGACTGGCTGGAGATTTTGGTTTCCAATGTTTGGAAATCTTGGCAGCTTTTATGTTGTACCAGTCATTCCTCAAAGGGGAGCTTTGGTGGGATGGCATAGCATGGCAGAGGAGATGGTTGCTTCCCAGGCCAAAGGATCAAGTCCCAAAGAGAAAATACTTGGCTGTGTTAAGCTCTGACGAATGATAAAGAATGAGCTTTCCCTGGAGAATGGGAACCCTAGAGCAGGGTTCCTCAACCTTGGCAACTTTAAGACAGATGGACTTCAACTCCCAGAATTCAACTCCTTGCTGGCTGGGGAATTCTGGGAGTTGAAGTCCACCCGTCTTAAAGTTGCCAAGGTTGAGAAACCCTGCCCTAGGGAATAAATCGTATGAAGGACCTGAACTTCAGAAAAAACAAAAGAAGGGAAAGATTGGGAAACTCTGTTACAAGATCTCAGGTTCCTCATATTTTTACAGTAAACGTTTCCTACCTCTTCAATGGCTTCTTGAGATCTGGACCTGGCACTGCTATTTCTAAATGACCACAAAGACCCTCTGGCCATAGCAGACACAGGCTCGGTATGAACAGCATCTACATTTTCTCTGTAATCTCAGTCAGATACCATAGAAACAACGCTTCGCCTCAGAAATTAAAGGACATATTATTAAAGGCTTACTTGCAAACATGGTTTTACCTGCATAAGCATTGCTTAGAGGCTTAAAGCAGCCAATAGCAACTGCTACAGAAAATGATACTATTGCATTTACTGTTTCTTAGTAAGCAGATGCCCAGCTGTCCTCTGCATTCCTAAAATGGATATAGAATCGCTCATCTGCTTACTGACTACTGTACAACTTGTTCCTAATATATCTTTCTGAGTTTCTGTAACAGGAAGATATATTTGGATACAAAGTGAGGGGAACCATCTTCTGATGAATGTAGGATTGCAAGAAAAACTGGCTTGGTGTATTAGGGCTCCCCCAGTCCCCAATCCTGTGTTTCCCATTAAAGCTTGGCAAGCAAATTCAGAGAACACTGTATTTCTGTACATTTATCTGTCATATTTTTCAGTCAAGATTGGCTTACAAAACAACTCTTAAATAAAGTGTGCATAAGATTAGAATGGGGATATCTGTATCTCTGTGGCAAAGTGTCCTGTTCTTTGCCGGTTGATAAGATAAGTTGGAGTCCGACCCAGGATGTTTCTGGCAGCAAGGGTGACTGGCTGAAGATAAAGCTATTGCAGGATCAGCTTCCCAACTGATTTCTCCTGATCCAGGTTTTATTTAAGGCTATTTTGCCCATGATATCTGCACCAGCATCTTTGAAAGCAGGTACCTTAAACGGTGACAAATATGAATTGGATAAGCACATGCTGATAGAATATCTCATCAGAGAGCTGGGTGGTTACGGTTTCCTGCTAATGTGAACTTGGTGGAAACATTCATTTCCTGCTATTTAAGATTTGAAATGGTCCTCAGAAGTGGTTCAGTGGTCATCAATTTAACATAATTATTTAAATTCACTTCTGGAGCCAACCGAGTGCTATTCCATGGGACTGGACAGCGGATAGCTTTTTGGGCCTTAGCAAGCAGTCATCAAAATCCCCTGGTTAGTGGATGTCAGATTTCAAAATGGGACCATTACTTAGATTTATTCTCATTGGGCTTTCAGCCAAGTTCTGAAATTGAATCTGCCATGGTTTCTCTGGCAGATCTGCATTGGAAGATGGGCCAAGGCATGGATTCTTGTTTCGTCTGAACTTCTCAGTGTTGCTTGATTCCATTAACCATGGCATCTTTCTGCTACACCTGGCAGGGATAGGTTATAAGATCAGTTCTTCAGATCCTCTTTCAGTCAATTGATACGAAAAGGTGGGTCTGAGTATATGCCTAGTCTTTGACCTGTGGGTCACCACCTTCTCTCTCATACATTCAGCAGCTAAATAAAACTCCTGGCAAAGGTCATCTGGAGGTTTGCAGTGAGATGTCATTAATTCATGGATTACATCCAGCATTACTTCTCACTGGATGCAGTAGAAGTAACAGATCTTTAGCCTGGTATCAAGTGTAGCTGAGAAGTGAGCAAACTAAAACTGAATCCAAACATGATAGAGGAGAAGATCTGTCCATACAGCATATTGTGGGTGGGATTGCAGTCACCCTGAAGAACGGTTATAGAGCTTGGGGCTCTCCTGGATGCCAAGCGGTGGCAGTTGCCAGATTGATTGATTGATTATGTGCCATCAAGTTGTTTTCAACTCGTAGCAACCACATAGATAGATTTTCTCCATGAGTATCTATCCCTGACCTGTTGTTTCAAGTCTCTCAACAGTTACATTGTCACTGCACTTCATCCCCCTTGCTGCTGGTCATCCTCTTCTTCTCTTTCCTTCCACCTTTCCTAGCATTAGACCCTTTTTCAGAGAGCTGGGTCTTCACATAATGTGTCTAAAGTCGGATATGGCAGTTGTCAGAAGTATTTTTTAATGATCTATGAATTTGCACATTTGTAACCTCTTAAGGTTATTTTACATAGTTCATCCATGGTGGCTCTTTAAGTGGCAAAGGATAAAAAAAGAATAGAAGCCCCTGTGTATGTAAAGGAAGAGTCACTTGCAGAAATAAAGCAACAAGAGATGAGGGGAGATAGTTAAATCTATTCTCCTACTGCTACTTATCTTGGTCAGGATTGTGGGTCTGCACATTTGGAGTGAAGAACCAAAGAGCTACGTGTCTTTTTAAATATGTATTAATATTTCCTTTTACAGAAATATTTTACAACCCACCCAGTCCTTAAGGTCCCTACGTTAAACCTGTAGCTTAATGCTTAGAGAAGATAGAGCAAGCATAAATGAGACAGGATTTCTGCAAAGGTTCTCCTGTAGGCTGGCAATTAAAAATAGCTCATAACCCTGACATAGTTCAAAATATGGCTGGCATACTTTTGATTAGTGAATAGTGGTCACTTCTAATCTTGTTTCCATTGTATTGACCGCACATTCGCTTCCACGTTCAGTTTGAAGTGCAAGCATGTCTTGTCTTGTAAAGCCCCAAGATAGTCTTGATCTTGATTCCCTTAAGCTATGGCTACCATATCTGGGCTGCACAAATTTGAATGGTTACTAGATGGAACCATCTATTGATAATCTGGATTTTTGCAGCCAGATATGGTAATTCTACTTAAATACTGATTCTAAACATACTTCTCCAGATACTAAGATGTGATTTGGAGATTTTGCTCACTTAAGCCTTCACCCTAAGTAGAAACCTGCAGGACCTTTCTGATGATGGTCCCCAAACTTTGGAATCTCCTTCTGTTGGCAATGTTGACCAGGAAGTAGAAGTATAGAAGTTTATTTCAACAACCTTTGAAATAATGCATATTATTTTAAAGCTGTTCTTATACCAATTGTTCTTTTAAAGTAAGTTATTTTCTATACCTTCTTTTCATGATACATTATCCTGTGATGATTGCATTGAGTTTTCATTGATGTAAACTCTTCTGAATACTATATATAAGAATTATAATGATCATTAAAGGTACTGTGGGATCTCAAGAATCAGATTAAACCAGAGGTTTGCAATCTTTGGGTTATGAGTGAGTTTTGATATTTTCCTTTGTTAGAAATATGTTATCAGTAGATTTGTAAGTGAGACAAGTTTGGAGAACAACATGCCTCTTTATTTTCATGTTCCTCCTGCCAAGATTGTAGATACAGATTTACCATGTGCACAGTGAATGCAGCACCCTGTCAACCTTGGCTGAGCTTGATAAAGCTAAGCAGGGTGAGCCCTGATCAGCTCTTGGCTGGGAAATCTAGGGGTGTGGGCTAGATTGGGAGATTAACAAGATAGATTTGGAAGAAAGCCACTGCAAGCCACTTTTATGTTATTGCCATGGTTAGATGTTTGCATGAAGTCACCAGAAGTTGATCTTGACTCAAGGAAATCTTTCAACTCTTATTGCGGGAGACTAACTCCCTCACTGTCAAGGAGAGAAGGTACCCTTAGTTTTCACTTCTAGATATGGAATATGAAGGCACATTT